CTTCCCTCTCTCACCCACCTTCCTCAGGTACATCCCCAGCCGCCCTGGCAGGTGGCCACATGATCCAGCTGTGACCAATGAGGGGTGAGTCTGCTGTGGGCTCTGGGAAAGTGTTCCCTGCCCGACTAGAGGAAGGCATGTTTTCTGTTTGCCCTCCTCTTTCTCCCTGCTCTGATGATGGTTTGAAGACACCACACTGAAGGCCGTGGCTGTCAGCTCACGAGGAGGCAACAAACCCAGGAACGGATGCCGTTATGCTGAAGATGGCAGAATGGACAGTGAACAGTGTCCTGGGCTGGGAGGACATTGTTGGATGGGCGTGAAGACCTGCATTGGCCTCCCTGCACACATTTTGCTATGTGAAATAATCTCATGTCACTATTGCGATTGGAAGTTTGCCAAGTTTGGCCAAACTTGCAGCACACAGTGTATCAGTGACATGGGAACAGAGTGGGTTTTGGACACAGGAAGACCGTGCTCATTTTAGTCTGACAGGTTGTTATTCATTACTGTGGAATTCTGTGTTCTCCAGCACTGCCCACTCCCAACTTTGACTCCACAAACACAGTTGTTACTCTTCACTGGGGAACAAAGGCAAAATGTAGCAAATTGTAGAGAAACAGACAGATAAGATTTTAATTACTCAAATTATAACTTATTTTACTTTGTTATCTAAAACCAGAATGATAATAATTCATTTTGCAAGTAAACTTTAGATTACAGTAAAAAGATTCCTTTCAAAGGAACCATCTTCAGAGGAGGGAGGGGATTGGTGTGTTCTCATCTAACAGACACGATGTACGGGTATATGGCACACCTCCTGGGTGAAGGGCTGAACTTCAACTTGGACTTTATGTAACAAACGCAATGGACCCTAATCTTTTGTACCCTCATATTAATCTGTATGTTCTAGGCAAATGTAAACTATACTTAAAGTAAAATAAGGCATTTTGCTACATTGTGCTTGGGGCAAGAAGAATTTAATGAACTTCTCGAATATGTGTGATTTACAACCAAGGAGAAATTACCATGGGAAGGATTAAATTCCATTATTTAGAAGCGTAATCCGAGCACTTTGGGAGGCCAAGGCAGGAGAAATCAGTTGAAGTCAGAAGTTTGAGATCATGTTGAGTAACATCGCAAGACATTATCTCTACAAAAAGTAGAAAAAATAGTGGCATGTGCCTGTAGTCTCAGCTTTTTTGGAGCCTGAGGCAGGAGAATTGTCTCTGCCCAGGCATTTGAGGTTGCAATGAGCTGTGATGACACCACTGCACTCTACCCTGGGCAATAGAGTGAGATCCTGTCTCAAAAATAAACAAATAAACATAAAAATAAAAATGAATTCCATTAGTGATACTTCATTTGGTCAGACTTAGTGATATCTAGGTCAGATAAGGGCTTCTGAGTATGGTAAACTGAATTCATAGCAAAGTCTTGCTTCCTGTTATCAATGCTAAATGGAATTCCACTTAATGCAAAAATGTTTCTTCCCTGAAAAACACTGTTTAAACTGAAAGGTTC